CAGACAGACACCCATCTAATTAGAAGACCATTCCCTAGTATCTATGAAGCTGAAGACTTATACACTTTACAATCTGGTAAGTCCACATATGAGCACACCTTAGTGTAACTCTCCCTTGTGTGAGTATACACCATTCAAGAATGTTCACTTAGCGAAATAGCAAAATATGGAAACAAATATTCATCAGCAGACAGTAGCTAAATACATTGGGATGCGCCCATTCAACTGATTACTACAGAATCACTGAAATGAAAGGAACTAACCCAGATGGATCATTTTGGATACCCTTGAAAATATGGTGGTAGGGGCTGGGGATTTAGCTCAGTGGCATAAGCGCCTGCCTTGCAAGCAGGCAGTCAGGAGTTCGATCCCTGGTACCGATAAAAAAGAAAAAGACAAAAAAAAAAAAAAAATATATATATATATATGGTGGTAAATTTTTAAGTGTTATGCGAAGATAAAATATGAACCCCCCCGAAATGATACATACATAAATTGTGTGTGCTTATGTTTATGACAAAAGAATAAAATACAGACACATGGCTGTCTTTTTTTTTGTTCTGTTTTGTTTTTTGAGACAAGGTGTTGCTATACAATCCAGGCTGGCCCTCAACTCATGGCAATTCCCCCATCTCAGCCTCTCTGGTACTGGGATTACAGGTGTGCACCACTATGCTTGGCTTTTGAAATATTTTTATATTGAAAAGACACAATAGAGATTTTAAAGAAATATAAATTCAGAGACCATATAACAATCAATGGGATATAACCATGTATATAAAATTTTTAAGTGAGAATAAAAGACAAGCACCTATGAAAAAATATTTGTAACACATATATGGCATAACAGACCAGTTAATTCTCTTAGCCTCTAGTATACTTACGCAAATCAAAAAGAGAAACCCAAGAAACCAAATTCAATAGGAGCCCAAGGACATGAACATACAGCTTACCATAAAGAAGTATCAATGGCACATAGGAAGACACTTGCGTTCATTCAAAAATTCCAGCATGGTTAAGACACCATTCTTGCAATGATCTCAAAAGCTGAGTATAAGGGTCTGGAGGTTCTTATGTGTCAGGAAATGAGGCTTCTCACAAACATGTAGGAGATGTGAAAACCAGATTAACTGTGTAGGAGGGGATTTGGTGACGTACCATCAACGGGGGATTCCCTTGCCAGCAGCCTGTTCTGTAGACTCTCCTGTTATCTATCAGTACTTTTACTGCGGAATTTTTGCCGTGCTAGGGAATCAAACCCAGAGCTCTGACCACACTAAGCAAGCCACATTCTACCACTCAGCCACACTGGTCTTTTTCTTCACTTTTCATGGTGAGACAAAGTCTCACCAAGTCACCAAAGGACTTAGGTTTGAATTTGCAATCCTCCTGCCTCAGGGTCCCAGAGTGTTGGAAATACAATCATGCACCACCACGCCTGGCTGCAGAACACTTTTAATAGCAGTAAAAGTGCTATTAAAATTGAAGTGCTATTGAAAATTCTTGCACTGAAATACAGCAGAAACTCTAAGCAACTAGGGAAAGAAGGGTGCACATCTATAACTGTAAGAGCAAGTGTGTTAAAAGCCAGTAGGAAACACTGTTCTGGGTATCTCTAAATGTACTTTTTTTGGGGGAGGGGTACTGGGAATCAAACTCACAACCTCACACTTGCCAAGCAGGTGCCGTGCTGCTGAGCTATATCCCCAGCCCCTCTAAATGTACTTTTTTTTTTTTTTTTTTTTTTTGTCGTTTTCCTTTTTATCGATACCGGGGATCGAACTCACAACTGCCTGCTTGCAAGGCAGGTGCTTATGCCACTGAGCTAAATCCCCAGCCCTTCTAAATGTACTTTTAATAAAAGGGTTACAGGCATAGATAGATTCATCTGTTCAAAATCTACTCAGGAGGATGTAGGGGGGAAAGGTGGCTGCCCTCCTGGAGGACAGGAGTCTGCAATGGGAGAGGTTTTTTTTTTTTTATCATCTACTCTTTGCTCTGTTTGACTTTTCCTGTGTGTGCTGCAAGCACGTTTGTGTGTGTGTTCATGTGTGTGCTGAGACAGGGTCTCCCTGTTCCGGACAGGCCTTGAACTTGCTGTGTAGCCAAGGCAGGCCTAACACTCAAGATTCTCTTGCCTTGGCCTCCCCAGCTGTGTGATAACAGGTGTACATCTTCACACCCAACTGTTTAACCTCCTTAAACCCCTGAGGTCCAAGCAATATGAATGGAAAAGTTGCTCAAGAGAAGAATGCTAAGTTGGAGTTTCACACACGGACCTGAATTCCAGACTGACCATCACCTGTGTGCCGAGGCCCCACCACCTCACACATCTCGGGTTTCCGCTTAGCCAGGCTGGGAAAAAACACAGCACTGTCCCGGAAGGTGGCTGGAACCATGGCTCCAAGAATCATTACTGAAGTGGCACAGCTGACCTCAGAGGAAATAGCCCGCACCACCTACATCTCACAGATCTGCCCTCTTGTCCCTTCTGTGCCCCACTCTAAGGACAGGGGTCCTAACAGGACATACACTGGGCAGGCAAGGCTGGCTGGGGGCAGTGGAGCCGCCTGCCAGACCACACGCCCTGTTATAGTGCTTGTGTCTACATCAGGTCTCCTTCCTCTCACCCTCTCTTTCACCCTCCCTCTTTCTCTTTCTCTCTTTCTCCTCTGGCCTTCACACTGAGCTATGTCCAAAGCCTTTTTATTTTTTTAATTTTGTAACAGCGTCTCACTAAATTCCTAAGATGCCCAGCTAGGTTCCAACTTTTGATCTTCCTGCCTCAGCCTCCCAGAGTGCTGGGATTACAGGTGTGCATCACTACACCTGGCTAGAAAAGGTTACTTTTTCTTATTTACCCAAAAGTTCAGTGAGGGCTGCAGCAATACCATTCACAGCAGCTTCTCCTCCTCTCCTCTGCAAGCCGCACACAGCCCCATGAAGAGACCGGGTGTGCCCAGCGTCACACAAAGTCCACTGGCGTTTATCCTTCCAAGTGTTCCCTCCGACTGTGTGCCCGAGGGTGCTGTTTTCATGAGAGCTGTGCTTCATGAGACACTGACACTGCTATGCCAGGGCAGCTGGACAGAGCTCTAAAGGGAGGTCACCCACAGAACTAACCTTGTGGCCCCAGGAGAGCTAGAGGCAACACCCCCTCAATTCCCTCTACCTGCTGGGTCTGTAATAAATATCCCCATCCCAAAACTGGTGGAGACTCCGGGCCCCTTAAAAACAATGAGACTGGGCACCCAAACAGAAGCCTTACGCACCACCAATGCACAAACACAAAGACAGACTCACACCGTGGATTTTATATGTAGGTGGGGACAGCACGTGACAAACAGATAAGTGACGGCAGGAACCATGTAATAACCATGTAATAATGACAGAGTGATAAGGAAGCACTGTTGTTTTTTAGTGACACTGGAGATTGACGCCAGGGCCTTTGCACTGAGTGGATCCGCCTTTTTTTTTTTAATTTTCAAACAGGTTCTCATTAAGTGACTCAGTGACCCACCAAGCCCAGCCCGGATGCTCCTTTGTGTCCAGAAGGTTAGGACCATCTCTCTGAGGAGCTGGCTCTGACCTGAGACCTAGAACCAGAGGTTGCAGACTGAGAAGTGCAAAGACCCTGAGCTTACCCCGATGTAGGGGACAGAATCAAGTCTCAGATGGCAAAGAAAGGGCAAAAGTCGTATGGGGAAGCCACAGGGGCCAATGGTGGAGGACACTGTAGGGCACCCCAAGGGCCCTGGAGTGTACTCTGGGTGTCAGGAAGTCACTGGAAGGCATTAATAGAAGGTTGACATCGCTGGATTCTTTTCTTTTACTTTATTCTTAGTTTTGAAGTGCTGGGGATTGAACCCAGGGCCCTGGAAATGCTACGCACTGTGCTCTGCCATTGAACTACATCTGCTGCCAGCCCTGGATTAACTTTTAATAGGTCCCCGGGCAGTTTCATAGCTATGGTTCATAATTTAAGTTAATTTTTAAGCTGCTTTATGTGGCAATACTCTTTTATTCCTATGGACACATGAAGAGTGCCCGCTTCCTCCTCCCTAGGAGGACCTGATGAGACCAGTGCACACCAGGAACATCATTTACCCTCAGCCTGGCCTGGGAATATGGCCACCTGCCTTGCTGGGTGGGGAGAGGCAGGGGTGGCACTTGGGGAGTCGCCCTCTTCCTCTCTTCCTGGCAGCTCGGAGGTCCTGGCCAATTCCAGCTGAGCAGCTCTGTCCTGACTAAGCTCAGTCCTTGATCTTCTTAGCCCAAGGCAACAGGGACACGCCCCTCCCAGTGCCCTCCTGCTGTCCACAGGGGGTGCCCCCTCCCCAGAGGCCTCTCATCCCTCTGCAGGTGATGTCCTCTCCAGAGCAGATAAAGATGCACCCCGGCTTACAAGAAGCCCCCTGTAACCTGCAAATACTGTAAGCTTAAAACGTACTTACTGCCTCTGCTCTACTCAACATCACAGCTTAGCTCTCCATCCACTGCTGGGTATCACAGGTTCAACCTGGGGAATGTGGGCTGACCGGAAGCTGTAGCTGGCTGCCCCTGCCTCGCATCACAAGACACTCCTACCACACATGACCAGCCCAGAAAATGGCAAAATCCAGAATTATAAGTATGTCTATTGAATATGCATTGCTTTGAAACCACAGTAAAGTAAAAAAAAAAAAAAAAAAAAAAGAACCCACTGAGCGAGGCATAGTGGTGTAGCCTCAGCATTTAGGAGTTGGAAAATTATTAGTTCCAGGCCAGCCTGGCTTACAGGAACAAAAAATCCACTGCAAATTGAGGACAGTGTGTACTCTCAAAGACCCCAGCTGGGACCGATATAGGGCAATAGTCGGTCTTGGGACCATCCCCCACCCCCCGCCCCAGAGGTGGATAAAATTCCAGCTTTGCCCCACCGTGGTACCCATAAATGCTGCTGCCTTTCCACTGTGTCTTGGAGCCACAGGGCTTCAGGAAATCCTCTCTGGCTCCTGAATCACTCCTGCGGGACTTACGCCCCTCCTCCCGGTGCATTCAGGAACAAGGAAGTTTTGGATGGTGAAGGGAAGGACCCAGAGCCCAGTACAGTTACAAGGAGAAGGGAAAAGGGCCAGACCAGTGGGGAACAAAGTGCCTGTGAGATGGTGGTGCCCTCCCCAGAAGAGAAGCAAAGACCTAGGATAGAAATCCAAGCCTCTACGCCCTGCCCAGCAATGGATCACCCTGGATTGAAGAGGTAAGCAGACCCCTCCGGAGCGGTCTCACATCTGCAGTCATGCAGTGGAATGAGCTGGTCACACATACATGACCCTCCTCTCAGTGGACCATGAGGGAAGGGCAGGGGCGGCTGGCGTTAGGTGCTGCTGAAAAAGACTTGACCCTGCCGTCCAGTCTCTCATGGAGTAGAGCAGGTGGCCAAAGGCCACCCCTCCCCTGGGGCTCACCTGCCTCCTCGGGAGATGACAGAGCACGACAGCCCCATCATATGTCAAAGCCAGGAGGCACAGGTGGCCTTTCCCAGGCCGATCCTGCCTGTCACAGGAACACACTCATCTCACACTAAGATCCTCATGGCAATAACCTGCACACACTTCTCAGAGTACACCAAGAACACAGCAGTGTCTACACACACACACACACACACACACACACTCGCAGGCAGGCACAGGTCTCATTCCTCCCCGTTCTTTGTCCCCCGCCGCACCCCCACATACAGCATCTGGGGCCTGCTGGGCCCCCTCGGCCTGGGCGCTGTCTTCCTCCATGCCTCCGCTGGGCTGCGTGCTGCCCGCTGGTACCTTCAGCTTTAGTTCTGGCTGCTGCTGCTTGTTTGTCAGACTGCAGTTCCCTGGAGCTATCAGCCTGCAGCTACAGGGACCAGGCAGTGGTTACGCCAGCCCTCTGGGGGCCTGTCCTGTCGAACTCCGCTCCCAGGAAGAGTCTAGCTGCTGCCGAGATCAGATGTATGGAATGGGGGTTTCAGGAGAGCCAAACAGAGGAAGGGTCCAGCAGAGACCCTGGGCTGGCTCCCCAGCCACGCTGATGGGCCCCATCGGTGTGGCACTCTGCCAGCAGCTTGTGCTTACGGCCACATACACAGTAGAGGCCGCCGCCCAACGGAGGACTCTCCCTGCCCCTGTGCCCACAGCAAACTCATCACCCACCAGGCTTCGCTGTACTTGGGCCCTAACAGTGTGAGAGGGATGGTCCTCTGGGCCCAGCAAAGCACCTAAGCCCTACAGACTCCTAGCCCTCCTGAGCTGGGTCTCCTACATACGCATACCTGAGCCCAAGCCTCAAGGGCACAGCAATTCTAGGATCATCCCAGTGCCCAGATCTGGGGGAGGTGACGTGAGGGCAAGCCCCAGGACATTCAGAGCCTGGAGCCCAAGGATTCCAGAGTCTGTACCCCTCACACACCTCTCCATAGAGCAACAGGTTCTCGGCCCGACAGAACCCCCCTGCTGACTCAACTCTGGAAATGGTGAGGGTCCAGCAAAGTGCTGGAAACCCACCTGCCCGGTGAAAGCCAAGCCCAGGGTAAAGCTGGTAGACCACGACCGTCCACCCCTGCAGCCTGGGGACCAGGCACTACTTTCAGGGCCAGTGGGAATCTTCCCAGGGACATCTGGGCTCAGAAAAAGACTCCACACACAGAGGAATGAAGGAGCAAACTGAGACAATCTAGGAGAGGAGCCCCCATCTGAAGGCTAGAGACGCCAGAGTTCCCAGCAGCCTCCGGGGCCTCTCCTGTTTCCTCCTGCCCAGGATGGAAGGGAGGGGTCAGGCTAGAGCACACAACCAAGCCTAGCCAGTTCACCTGGCCTTGCTGGGCTGCTGGTCCAGCCATTCTGGATGGGGGACATTTTTTTCCTACTCTGTTTGGACAGCTGCAAGGACAGCAATGGTGAGAAGAAGATGCTGGGTCACAGGTGGCCAGGTCTCCAGAGCAGCTTGGAAGGCTGCATGCAGGAGGTGGGAAGGGGCTTTAGGGCTGGGCTGGAGGGGCACGCAGTGAGGGCAGCGAGGGTAGTAGTCTGCTCCTGAGACCTAGAAAGAGGGGTGGCCATTGGGTTTCTGCAGGTGGAGCTGGCCTCGAAGGCCAAGGGTGAAGCCGGAAAATGATTCCCTGTTCTATGGAATTTGTTCTGTTAAAGGGTGAGGCCACAGACAAGCTCCTGGTGCCCAGCCCTAAACCCTTCTTGGGCTCATCCCAGACAGGTCCCATGGCCTTCTCCAAGCTGGCTGGGACTGGATGGATGCGCCTATAGACAGGAAGACAACAGGCCAAGGTCTGCATTCCAGGAGGCAGGAAGTGAACTGTGAGGGTGAAGCTAGCATCTCTCGCCCCTCCTCCCACTGTCTCCATGGTCTCTCTCCAGGCCACGTCTCCTTTCTACCCATCCCACTCTGCTGTCTCCTGGTCTCCATCTCCACCTCCGCTTGCTGCCTCCCCATCCCCAGTTATGTAAAGGGCCTGAGAACACACAGAGAGCTTGTTGTCAAACCAAATCCATAAGGAGCAGGAATCAGCCAACGCAGCTGTTCCCCATTCCCTCTGCCTTGGCGGGGTTGAGACTGGGCAGGAAGCCCCTCTATGCCTCTATTTAAGGAGACAAGGGACAAACACTGGCCCCAGGGCCCTCAGGCAGCAGAATGGGTGGCCGGGGATCAGGCACTGTTTGGTAGAATCACAGCAAGAGACCAGCTGGCCCGTAAGACAGAACAAAGTCACATGCAAAGCCTGGGTTAGAGACCACAGACAGGCAAACTCCGGATTAGAGCTGGCAACACAGTGCCAGGCCCTGAGGAGAGAGGGTACAATTTTGCACGTGTACCCTGTGTTCCTGCCCCCACACAGAAGCATGCCCACATGCTCTCCTGAACACACACAGCCCATGTGTGTACTCAGCCACATGCTTCAGCCATGCACATACACACAGACACAGTACATGCACCAGCCCAAGCACAGCAGGTGTGCTCACCTGGCAGGAGTCTGAGTGGAGCCCTCCTCTCTGCTCTGGCCAGCTCTCTCCATCCTAGCAGGTACCTCTGGGGGAAAGAGCTGGAGAGAGGAAGGCGGAGGGCAGGAGTCAGGCCCCGAAGCTCTGCCTGCCAGCCCTTGAGAGACCCTCAGGCTGTCGCAGCTCCAGGGTCCACCTGCCTGCCTAAGATGTCCAGGGAGGTTGGTGAAAGCCCAGGGAGCGGTGCTGAGGACTAAAGGACTGAATTTCTGGGGCCACTATACCTTCACCCACCCAACTGCAAGCAGCACCATTTTGCTCCAAGAAACCAGAGCTGCTGGCATGTGGGGCTCCCTCTAGGCTTCCAGCAGAGGCTCTCCAGAGCGTTCATGGCCTCCAAAGAACCCAACCCAGGCTCCCCTATGAGGACAATCAGAATGCTGAGCCTGGGGTGCAGGAGGGGAAGAAGGACAAAGGGAAGGGGAGAAAGAGGAGGTGGATGCAAGCAGGCAGTTGTGAGTTCGATCCCCGGTACTGATAAAAAGGAAAAAGACAAAAAAAAAAAAAAAAAGAGAAGGTGGAAACCAAGACTGGGATGAACAGTACCTCAAGGAGAAATATCCAGAGGAAAAGGAAAGAAGACAGAAGAGAACTGAAGAAGAAAGAGAAAGAGGAAGGGGCCATCGAGGGGAGGAGAAGGGGCAGGAAGTCTGGAGAGAAGGGCCCACACTGCCCTTGGGGACAGTCTCCCCTCCTCTAGCAACACGCCTCCTCTCCCAGCCCCTGGGACCTGGCTTTCTCTGCTGGACACAGCCAGGCCCATGAAGTCCAGTGAACACGCACTTCCAGGCCACTCTCTTAGCCCACCCAGTCCCAGGGACCCACCATGCCCCACCCTCGAGGGGGGTCCAGCCTCAACAATCCCAGCCTAGGGGAGGGCTCTGGAAGACAGGCTGACCTAGAAAGGCACAGCAAGAGGTGGGCTGGAGGTGGGAGGGAAGGGCAGGGAACTGGGGTCACTCCTAACTCTTAGCACAAACAGACATGGCCCTGCCTCCTCCGGCCTGCGACCTTAAACAATGAAGTGACTTTTCTGAGCCTCTCCTCTATCACTGGTGAAAAAGAAACATCAAGGGAGCAGCTACTGCAGTGGGGCCGATACTGTCCTCTGTAGCCCTGTGGACAGCTGTGCTGACTGAACACTGATTGAAGACCTGCCGGAGGCCACATGGCTGGACATTCAGGAGACAGAAGCACCTCCTACCTGGCCATCTGCCCTTCTTCCCTGCCACAGAGCAGGAAATCTTCAGCCTCTGGGCCCCACCCTGGAGTACCAGAAAGGAGACCAGCCAGCTTTTACAGAGTGAACCTGAATGTTATCTGAAAAACTATCTCATTAACAACTGTTCCTTTCGGAGGACTAAAGTGAGCCAACAAAGGTAGGCAGTTCTGCTCGGTTCAAGTTTTTTTTTTTCTGGTCTTTTTCCTTTTTTTTTTTAATCAGTACCAGGGATTGAACTCACGACTGCCTGCTTGCAAGGCAGGCACTTATGCCGCTGAGCTAAATCCCCAGCCCCTCAGTTCAAGTTTTGCAAGGAGGGAGAAGCAAAGAACCTGCAACCTCCTCAGAGAATACAATCCCCTGGCTCCACACCACACCCCAAACTTTGCCCAGGGTTCCCTTTGGGCTCGACTGAGGTTCACTTAGGGCTCAAGCAGCCCAGGAACCTCTTCACACCACAGGAGTGAGGCCCACACAAGAGTGGGGAACACAGAGGGAGTCAGGAAGCCTTCACAGAACCAGCCCAGGGTGAGGGGGCAGATGCTGGCAATCGAAAAGTCATTACTGCAGGTGCCCAGGACATATGGGGCACAGGCAGGGAAGTGTGGACACATGTGCCCTGCGACAGGGAAACTGGGGCACTTACTGAGGCCAAATAAAGCCAAGAAAACTTCTGCTCCAGTTCCAAAAAAAAGTGGAAAGCCAGTGTGTAGAAGAAAAGCGGAGTTGTCAGCCAGGTATGCTGGCACACACCTGTAATCCCAGCACTCTGGGAGGCAGAAGCAGGAGAAGCAAACGTTTGAGACTAGCCTGGGCAACTTAGCAAGACCCTGTCTCAAAAATAAAAAGGGCTCGGCATGCAGCTCAGTCAGAGGCCCTGGGTTTAATGCTAAGTACCACAAAAAAGACAGACAGACACACAGAGAGAACCTTTACTCCACAGAGGCCACCCAGGGGAAGCTGTACCCTCAGGGATGTCTTTCTTGAGCCCCAAATAAAGAGGAAGCTGACATGGGAACAGTTGGTGGTACTGTAGTACTAGTCAGTTCAAGAAGCCTGACGGACTGGAGAGGAGTGACAGGGAGGGGAAGGTCAAGGCTGAACCTGGGGGGAGGGGTGGCCCTCTTCAGGGGCAACCTTCTGCCTGCCCCCTGGGCTTCTGCCCTCCCCCTGCTGTCTGAACAGAGAACTCCATCCCTTGCCCGCGTGGACGGGTAGCTCCAGCGAGGCCAGGCCCCTCTCCTCCGAGACACGGCTCACCTGGCAAAAGAGTCTGGCTTGTTCTTTGGCCCTCAGAAAAGGCGGAAGGAAGCAGGGCTGGGACAATGTAAGGACATTAGAACACGTGAGCTACCTTTTCCATTCATTCATCAAACAAATATTTGTTAAGCACTTATTTGCTACTCATCTTCCAGGCATTAAGGATGTAGCAGTGAACAAGACAGATAACTTCCTGGAGCTTACATCGAAATCCTCCAGCCCCACAGAGGAAGACACCTTAAAATTGTTCAAACTCATTTCACACCACAGACATGCTCCAGCCAACAGTGGCATCTCCTCCGTACTGCCTCTGTCAAGGTCACAGCACTCTGTGCTCCAAGGTATGCAATGACAGGGAAGCCACAGGAAACTGCTTCTGAACCATGCAGGGGCGCCCTAAGCACCCTCTAGTATCCTCCCCTCCCAGCCTCTGTGGAGTCTCGGGTTAGGGATCCACCAAGCACTAATGCACTTTTAGTGCAAATTTTATTTACAGTGAAGAAAATCTGAGGCTTTGACTCTGGCTCTGTGTCAACTGCTTGGAATGAAATGAAACGAGGAATCGCTCTCACACGCCCAGAGCTCCCTGGGTCCCTGCATGGCTGCCCCCCCAGGGATCCCAAACGTGGGAACTCCTCCTGGCCCCTACTTGTCTCCTGCGGGCCCTCTCTCCTCCGGATGTGGACAACCTCAAAGGAACAGGGAGAACTGTGGTTGCTGAGCCTGCTTTCGAGGTGAAGGGGAGCTCTTACTGGATGGAGAGGGGATCTTGGGGGACCTCTCTGACCTTAGGCCAGCCCAGGCCTGGGCGTGCACGGAGCAGGGCCAGGCAGCAAAGGTTCTACCTGGCAGCGGTCTGGGGATGCCAAACACTGAAGCAGCCACCTCGGCGGGTTCCCCATGCTCGGACCCCGCAGGGCCCCTCCCCTTCCCCACGTGTCGCTGTGGTTGCCGGATGAGGCCTCGCAGCCATGTGGGCGGCCCAGCGCCTTTCCAAAGGAATAGGAGCCGGCAGGCAGGCCAGATGGAAGCAATTACAGGCGGGAACGCCGAGCCGAGCCGGGAAGCGGGAGGGTGGGGGCTGGGAGAGGCCGACAAGGAGGAGGGGAGGGGAGCCAGGAGCGAGGCGGGAACCCAGGCCTGTCCAACCCAAGCGGGCTGCGAAGCCCAAATTCAGGGTGCGGGCAGGGCAAGGAGGCAGGATCCCACCCAGAAGCGGGGTTTGTATCACCAGCCCTCGGGCAAAACCGTTCACACCTTGGAGTCCAAGGCCCCTTTCTTTTTTCATCACAGACCAAACAGGTAGGACAAGCTCCAGCTCAGGGGCGCAGGCGAACGGGACCTAAAAAGCTGAAAAGCGGAGGTTTTGGAAGAAGGCTTGGGTCTGTCTCGGTTTGGCTGCTTAAGAGCTGTGTGACCTCAGCTCTGCGGTTTAATCTCCCCAGCCTCCACGTCGTCATTTCCAAATGGGCTTAAGTGGCAGGCTAACTGAAGGGATATAATAAGTGCCCAGGGGCTGGGGATTTAGCTCAGCGGCACAAGCGCCAGTCTGGCCAATGCGAAGTCATGAGTTTGATCCCCAGTACCAAAAAAAAAGCACATTTAAAAAAAGTTAAAATAAAAAAAATTTTTAAATGTGTTAGGCTGGGCTTCTAATACATGCTTGGGTGATAAATGGTAATAGCCCTTTTGATATTTTCTAAATTGCTTTTCATTATGACATTTTTTTTGGAGTCAGGGTCTCGCTATGCAGTTCAGGCTGATCTTGAACTCACTTTGTAGCCCAGGCTGGTCTCAAACGTGCAATAGTTCTCTTGCCTCAGTGTCCAGATAGCTGGGATTACAGGCTCATTATGACTCTTTTCTGCTACACTTGGGAGACCAAGCACAGGTGACACAGCCACAGCCTGCACCCTGGAGCAGAGCCTGGGCCCAAGAGGGAAACACAAATGCATGTCAGCCTAACCCTCTCCAAACCAGTGCCTGAACTCTGCTACCTGCCTCCAGACAAAAAAGCAAGCAAGTTCCTGGAGTCCCGGCCCCCAGCCCAGGCCTGACTGAAGTTGCAGGAGGAGGAAAAAATGACCCTATCCTACTGCTCCAGCTGCTCCTGGCCTTAGAATCAAGGCCCACCTGGGAAACAGGCTCTAGCAAGACCCAAACCTCACCTCGATGCCAGTAGCAGCATTTCCTCCCTGCTGGCTCAACAGCAGAACCCAGGGCTTCCATGTCTAGACACACCATTCTACCTGGCAGCTTTGGGGCTGGGGTGGGTAGAGACAGGATGCAGCCCCAGGTGAGGGACCAACCAGGACTTGACCTCTGGACATTCATCCTCTCCACAGTACAAAAGGCAAACTCCTGTGCTCCTTAGTCCAGGGCACCTAGTGGAGGCTGGGGTGTCACCTGCTGCTGCTTCCCTTTGGCCACTTTCTTTGAGTGTGTCCAGAAAGCTGTTGGGGTCAGGGGAGATTCCAAGGCCAGGGCTGCCCAGGGCCCAGCCACGGGCACTCAGCACTCGCCAGCAGAAGCACTTCTAGAAAGGCAACAAAGGGCAGAGGCAGACTTGTGACTGTAGTCAAAATCTGACACTGCCACTGACAACCAAAACCTTGGGTCAAGGAGGGCCTGGTCTTGGAGAGGAAGAAGGCTCCCGAGGGGCCGGAGCACACGACACAGGAGTGAGCTTCAGCAGCAGCTGGCTGCAGGAACGTCTCAAAGGACACCAAGTGAGATGTCAAATAGGGCAGTGCCCAGAGGTGGGCACTGGGCGAGCCTCACCACCTGTCTCATCCTGTGACGTCCAGGGTCCAAATAGGAATCCTCTTCTAGAGCCCAGGCCCTCTCCCCACCCACCCTCTCCAAGGTCCCCTTCTCTTCCTCCCCGTCTACCCAGGACCTGGAACCTGGTCACATGCAACTGTTGAATACTGGTCTAAGGTACAGCATCTCACCCCTGTCAAGGGCAGCAGAAACCTAGAGTACTATGGGAGGAGTCATGGGCAACATCTGGAGCAGCTAGGCGGAGGAGACCCCCCAGAAGGCTGGGGTGGCCGGAGGCAAGGGCAGATCAAGGGAAGGGTGCGATGATCCTGTCAGGCCATCACATATTAGGTTTAAAAGGGAGCTGGCCTCTCTGCTCTTCCCTGGTTGTGGGAAGGAGGTCTTTTCCAGGATTTCAGACAATTCCAGAAAAGAGCAGGCTCTTGGTTCTGCCCAGCAAATGAAATCTCATGAGACTAAAGAAGCTGGGAAGTAGAGGTGCCAAGGCACTCTGCCTCTGAGCAGAAGGGGTTGAGTCACTGCTTCAGTGTAGAAAGTGCCAGGGTTCCTGGGCCTGGCCCTCCACTTATGAGGAAGAAGCCCCTGTTGCCTCTCAGCAGCTCATCACTCCCAAGGTAACCAAGCCTGTGGGCCCCCGAGGGGCACAGAGGTGACTCCTACTGACTGCCCCAGCCCTGTGCCTCTGGCATGCTAGGGGAATGCTGTACCAGGGATTCACCTCTGCCCCTAAAAGGCTTTCATACCTTCTTCCCTCCCATCCCCTCCTCACCTCCATTGTTTCCCTGGAGTCTAAGGGGGCTGACCCCAGCACCCAGCTCCCCTTCAACTTCTTGGTGAAGTATAGGGCCATCAAGCAGCCTACGATCCCCACCTGGGTATCAAAGCACAGGACTGGGGAGCACTGAGAGTGGAAACAGAAGTTGAGCAGGAAACAGATTAAAGGAAGCTGGGCCACTTTGGGGGGGGGGGGGTCAGAGCCAGATCTGCTCCCAGCAAAGCAAAACAGCTCCACAGCCCATTTCTAGGCTCTGAATGGTTGGGACCTCCCAAGTAACCGCTCTAGAATTATAGGCAGCAGTGGAGTCCAAGTGTGGGAGAAAGTTTCTAGGAGTAAAGACTTAAATAGCTTTTCTACAGAGCAGCACTTTTCAAAGTATTTAACTTAGATCAACTCACTTCAGTTCTGGGGAGCAGGGGCCAGGGTCCTGGGGAGGTGGGGGGAGGGTCTGGACCACTGGGGCCACACTGTGGCAAGGGTTTGTACCTCTTGTGACAACCCAGACTATACCAGGCCCATTCCCAAGGTACCACAAAAAAGTAAGTCTGCCCAAACTTGGCTTCAACATCGAGCTTCCCTCCAGTTGTAGAAAGTGCAGACTTGGAAGGAAGGGGTGCCAGCCTGTGGGTGGCCATGAGGTCAGACAGGGCACAGCCGGGCACCCAAACATTGCCTACACTCCCAGGCTTCTGGCGCAGCCCCTCAGGGAGGCCCTGGAGACCCAGCATGAGGAACAGAAGAAGCAGCAACATAGATCAGGCCTCACACAGGCAGACAAGCTTCCAGGCAGGGCCGGGAATAGAGGGGCAGTGCTGGCAGACATGTTGGCAGCTCGGGCTGGCTGGAGGCCCCCACCAGCAGAGGCCCCAGGAAGCAGGAGAGCAGACAGGGGAGTCCAGGGCTCCGGCCTTAGATCCAACCCACCCTGTCTTAACCCCATGTCTCCCCAATGCCTACCACCCAGGCAACTTCCAGGCAGAGTGGCCTAGGCACAAAGACCCCCAAACGTGGCATCAGTGCCGTGGGCATGGCCAGCCTCCAGCTGGCAACCCCGCCTTCGGGCTCTGTTCCCCGACCTTGCAACTCCTGCACACAGAGAGACCTCGGCAGAGCTTGTCATCTCCAGCCCACATGTCCTGGACTTGATGGGGACACTTGTGGGGACACCCAGCGCTCAGTGGAGGCTGGAGGGGGACGCCTCTTCAGCCCAGGCGCAAGGGTGGGGGTAGAAACTTTCCGGGAAGAGGACTGTCCCGTCCGCACACTCCAAGCAGCCTGGAGGGGCAGGCTTCCCGCGAAAACCTAGTCCGGGGACGCAGCGGCCCGGAGCAGCAGCAGCAGCAGCTCCTCCGGGGTGTGGCCGCCCCGCCCGATCCCGCGCCTTGCAGCGCCCACGTGCGGACCGACCCCTTCCTCCAGGAGCCCGGGCGGGACCGGGACCCAGACAGAGACCGAAATCAAAACTGAGACGGAGGCCGAGGCCCGGCGGCCGAGACCCCCGGCGCGGGCCGCCCCCGCCGCGGCGCCGCGTACTCACCCCGGCGGGAGGGGCGGGGCGGGCCGGCCTGTTCCGCGCGCTGCCCGATCCGCTAGGCGCGCGGGCTCCGCTCCGCCCGTGCCTGTCTCGGGCGCAGGGCCGGCCTGGCGGCGGGCGCGTCCGCCTGCAGGGGAGGCGGGGGCCGGCGCGGGGCGGGGCCGCGGGGCGGGGCCGGGACCCACACGCTTGCGCACAAGTCCGGGGAGCCGACTCGCGGAGCCGCGGAGGGGGAGGCGAGTGCGGGGTGGGGTGCGGGTTGCGGGATGCGGGGAGGAGGGGCGGCGCGGGGAGGCTCTGACCGCGCGGCCGCCTTGCCTCGGGAAACAATGTGAGCACGGAAAGGGTGGACCCTGCGCTCGCCCATGGGGCAAGCGTGTCCTTCCCCCACTGGGGAAACTGAGGCACGGGGGAACTGGAACCTCTCCCCTCCAGCAGTCAAGGCAGCCAGGTGCCTGCAGGGCCTCGCGAGTCTGCCCTCCGCCCCGGTCCGGACCTGCTACCCCTGGACGGCGCCCTCTGCACGCTTCCCAGGCTGCCACCTTTTGACCTCCCTGTTCTTAGGGAGGCCCCTGGCAGGATGCTTCAGGGGAAACCCCATCCAGCCCCTGACCCTGGGCAAAGGCGCCTCTCGAGTCACCTCAAACCGACCCGGCTGAGGAGAGTGCAGAGATGGCCCTCGACGCCTGTCAAGGCGTTTCCGGAGGGTCCACGGTGAAGCCCCCCCCTCCCCGACCCTGGGTGTCAGCCCCTGCCCGTCCTGGGAAGCTTACCATGTCGGCTGTGGAGGGAAGGCTTGCCCTGGACTCCCTTCAGGAATGAGCCAGGACAGGCTGTGACTGAGTGCAAGATATGAGTAACTGGCAGCAGGTCTAAGGGGGGCCCGGGAAGTGGCCGCGCAGATTCCTCTTCAGCTGAAGCGGGAGGGGTGCTCCTCGGCTGAGAACCCCAAGCTGGGCAAGCTCTGCAGCCGCCAGGGAAGAGTCAGCCGACTTCTCCCTCGGGGACCGCGATCCGCCCTCAATCACACCTTGCCTGCACACACCCGCGGCGTACTTGATTTTGAGTGGTGCCTTTGACTTTGTCAGTCAGTCAGTCAACAAATCCTTTATTGCACGTCACGCTGAGGTCCGGAACTACCATGAACTGGGCATAGCGCATGCAGTGGCTAAGTTACTCGGCACGGACGCCTTTCTCTCTGGCCAGTTTTCCTTCGGTAAGACGGGGATCTCCTTTCTTCCCCTTAACTTGCCCACGGCAGAAACTTAGTCATTGCCTGCGTACAGCTGAACCTAGAATAAGCTATCTGCTGCGCGTCACTCCCTCCTCAGTTCATTACAGGTCTGGCTCCGAGGTATCCAGCAGCTAAGTGGCTAATTCTGATCTCTGAGGGCACAAGATGCTTACTGGTGTCCTGCCTAGCCCTGTCATTTGTGGGGCGACAGGGGGTTCTGGTGCTTTTTACCCCAGGCACTGGGTTCCGAGCCCCTCCCAATGCCTCCACACCCCTTTGGCCCATCTACCAGCCGCCACAAGCTGCTTACCAAGAGGCGTATGGCAGGGCAAGTGGGGCTCTGGCTCTGTGGACTCTTTCTCTCCGAGGCTGGCTGTGGCAGGCAGGATGATCTAAGGAGTAACAGGGCTGAGCCTTAGTCTGCATCCAAACAATGCCACCTCCATTCCTGTCTCCTCTTCTGCCTTTACCTCTTCTGCAGTGGACGTGGCAGGACCCCTGTCTGCTGGGGCAGCCAAAGAGCCTCAGGAGCAGAGGGAGGAAACAGGAGAGGTGTACTGGGCAGGTGCATCTGGACCCTGGAGGCCCTGGCCCTGCAGCTCCTCCTGACGGGCAGCAGCCCAGGAACCATTTGACAAGGGTGCCTTGCAGGCTTGTGGCTCGCCCCCCTCCATGTGCCACGTTACCATCCTGCCCAACAGGCAGAGGGCCGTTTGAGGAGGAAATAAATCCAATCCAGCATCTCAGACGCTTTTAAAAATAGCCACTCCAGGATGGTGTTTCAGCTCCTATTTTTATCGGATTTCTATGGCTGGACCATGGAGCCGAGCTGTTCCCAGGGTTCTCGATGGCGGGAAACATCGCCATGGCTGTTAGAAACCTGTGTGTGGGCCAAGTGGAAAGAAAGCACATTCCAGGAACCCTGAGGCTGCAGGTGATCTCAAGAAATGCCCATGTGCAGCCCCAGTCAGTTGAGCACCATTGATAGCCTGCTTTTTTTCTTAAAATCTCTGGGCTGTGATGCCTCACTTGTACTGTACAGGAGCTCATAGGCTTTTTCTCCCCATATTTGTTGTGGTATCTTAGTCCACTTGAAATGCCGTAAAAGTTGTGGCTCATAAACATCAGAGACTTGTACCTAACCATTCTGGAGGCCAAAGTCCCAACTGAAGATGCCAGAAGATTTGGCGTCTGCTAAGTGCCTGCTTCTTACCATCACCTTGCCTGGTAGCAGGGACCGGAGGCCTCTTGGGGCTCTTTTGTAAGACACTGATCCCATCGGAGGGCTCTGCTCCAGTGGAATTTTCTCATAGCCTTGTCTGTCATTTCTTCTTTCCTCCCCAGGAGAAATACCCTCACACTGGGGGCCAGGACGTTAACACGAATTTTAGGAGGATACAAATTCAGGTTATAGCATGCATCTACCCACAACCATCTCTGTTTACATCCATTCTGGCCACTCACACAGCAAAAAAAGAATTGTTAATATTTACTGAGTTGCTAATACTTACTAAGTACTGTATCTCACAAAATCGTCTGGCTTAGGCACCATTATGACCCCAATTTTATGTAACTAGACAGAGATCATACTTGATTTTAACGCCAAGTGCATACTGAGTATCATCAGGGCAGGAACAGACCAGGAGGAAATTTCCCCTTGGCCTTACCTGTTTGTCTTCCCCCACTCCCCATGCTGGGGACCAAGCCAGGGGCCTCATGTCTGTGAGGTTCACACTCAACCAGTTTCAGCCTGGCTCATCACTTCGTCCTGGCTCTGAAAACCTGCCTAGCGTCCTGGCTCTGAAAACCTGCCTAGCACCCTGGCTGTAGTTTGAGTCTCATGCCGCAAGCTGAGCTCAGAGACCCGGCCACACTGGCCCGCAGTCTCCCTGACTTGTGCTTGCTATTTTGGATAAGGGTGATCAGGTTCTGGCCAAAAGCATGAACACAGTGTATGATCTCACTTTTATGTGGAATTTAAAAAGTCAAACACAGACACAGAGTACAAAGGTGGCTGGCGGGGGTGGACTGGACAGATGATCGAAGGATACAAACTCTGAGTTAGACAGCAGAGGTATTGTGCAAGATGGTGACTCCACTTAATAAAAACGTATTGTACGCTGGAAAATCGCCTGGTGAAATTTTAAACATTCTCGAAAAATGACTTGTAATATGAAGTAATGCATATGTTAGCTACTTTGATTTAGCAATTCTGATGTACATATATAGCAAAACATCAGGTTGTACGCCATAGATAAAGGCAATTTTTGTCGGCTAAAGTAGTTTTAAAAATTAATTTTAAAAATCTTTGGTGTAAGCTACTGTGGACGGTATTATTTCAGCTTTGTGTTCCTTATGAAATGGTTAAGTTCTATATGTGCCCCACCTAAGTCTAGCTTCTTGCAAAGAAGCAAAAAGGAAAGGAAAGAAGAGACAGGGATAAATTCCTACAACCTATTTATTAGACCGAATTGAAATTGACACTTTAAACTGATTCATTCCCTGCTAACAATATTTACTTGGTAACTTCAAGTTGACAGATTCCCCACTATAATTTCATTAATGATGATAAAACAAATTTAGGGTTGCCAACATTTATTTTGTGAGGACACTTAGAAACAACTCTAATTAATTATCATTTTATCACAGAAAGGGTATTTTGTGTTTGCTTTGACAGCACATATACAAAAAGCAAGGATATTTCAACAGTGTATGTTTGGAGTAAAACTGATCCTTTCTGGAGGAAGAGATAGCAGACCTATGTGAAAAACAAAGCAAAACAAAAACCTTGGCTCTCCAGCTGCGTGGGAGAAAGGGCAGGGGTGGTGACCCGTGGTGGGACATTCATCTAGCATTTGCACTTGTACTGAACATGTCTTTTTTCATGACACTGTTCCCTATACAGTATAGCAATAGCAAGTTTACAGTTTTTACTTGCCAATTAAATTAACTACTTGAACAATTAGAGGTTTAACTCCTACCAGGGCCCCACTCTGTATTGTAGGTATAAAGCTCAACGTATCAGACGTTATAAGTAACGTATAGGTGATTTAAAAGTATGTAAGAGGAAGTGCATAGCTTGTATGAATACACTACACCACAGGATACTCAAGCATGCAAGAGTTTTGGTGTAGGGGTGGGATATCCTGGAACCAAACTTGGATACTGAGGGAAGATCGGGTTCAAATGTTTTAGATATTAAAAGAGAAATATTTGCAAATATTACCTTGTCATATTTAATTCATGTATTTGTGAGATAGGGTTTCACTGTGTAGTCTAAACTGGCCTCAAATTCATGGCCATTCTCCTGCCTCGGCCTCATAACTGTAGACCTGTGCCAATCTGCCGGGATGATCGTTTTGGTTTTTCAACTTGATCTTTTTTCAACAGGAACATAAAAGACAGAGCTTGGTCTCTTTCTCAATTTTGTGTTCATAAAGAACACATCTTAGCCAGGCATGGTGGTGCACACCTGAATTCCAGTACTCAGGAGGCTGAGACAGGAGGATGGCTGTGAGTTCAAGGTCGGCCTGGGCTACACAGTGAGCCCGAGCCCATCTCCCTTGCGCTATTAGGAAACTGGGCAAAGGAATTAAAGCCCAGGAAGAAGAGCAGCCCTGCCCCCAACTGCTACTTTCTATCTCTGACCTGGTCGGTGTCAGGTGCTAAAGCCACTGGCTGGGGCCTCAGGGCTCTCCGCCCACACAGAGCCCACACAGAGCGAGAACACAGTGTGCCTGAGAGGGCTCTGCAGCAGGGGACAATGGTGTCACTCTGCTGGAGGGGCTGGTATTTGCTGCTGCGTGAGGCAGGGCTGGGACAGAGTCCTCTGCTTGGAAAGTTCTCTGGGGAGGCAGGGTGCTGGATTGTGAAGTAACAGGGTGGTTGTCACCCTGGTGCCCTGGTCCAGGAACGAGATGGCCTGGTACCACAGCCCAGCACCATTCCTGCATGCACTGTTTGCTGAATGCATGGCACGGCGGCCACTACCCCTGACCCTGGATAAGCAGCGTGTGGAAGCCAGGAAGCTTTGGCTTCCTGGAGCTGACATTCAGGGCCAAAGCATCCTGAGCTGCTGATCTGTGCCATGGAGTGAGGGTGGCGGTCCAGGGAAATTACGTAAAGCATTGTAACCTTGAGCTGTCGGCCAGACAGCACCTCAGGTGCTGTGGAGGGAAATGACCAAAACACCCTCCCTCAGAGCCCTCTCGGGAATGTGGGGAAGGCGGCCCAACTGACAGTGGTACATAGGCCTCAGACGTGTGTCAGACAAACCACACCACAGACGCATGGCCACCCCATGACATGGAAGAGGGAGTCTGGGGCCTGGACCTCACTGCACTCAGCACAGTGGCACTGCTGCTGGATTCCCAGGGGTCGAGGCACCAGGATGGTGAGCCCAGGGGCCCACGTGCTTCACGGTCAGCAGAGCAGGGGCTGGCTGGCCCCGATGCAGTCTTCACCCAGAGACTTGTCCTTGCAACTCTAAGGACAGTCTCAGTCTGAGGCCTGAGAGGATGCCCACTACACTCTCAGGAACAAATGGGACAGAGGGAGGAGTGGCAAGGACACTGTCCCGGACGGCCCCCTTGCAGAGCGAGCCAGCAGGGAGACAGAATTGGCGAGGCAGTGGGGCAGTGGGAAGCCGTCCATGTAACAGTCTGTCTGCCTGGAAAGGGGCCCTGGAAGGCTCTGCCTGTTTCTCCAGGCCAGGCCCCTCCCCTTGCTGCTGTCCCTCTAACCCAGTGTGTCCCATAGCGCTTGCTGGTCACTCTCCACAGCCCATGAGACAATGGCATGAATGTATGGGTCAAGCTAAGCCACTGGCCTGGCCCAGCAGCTGGCACAGTGGGGGCAGGGTGGGGACATGAGATGGGGCAGATGTTCTGCAGGGAGACTACACTCGGAGCCCCTGGAATGCTTGAAAGAGGAGCTGGAACTTCCTTGTCAGGACCATATGCTCTAGGAAGGGAAGTGTCACTTCTCTCCCTTGATGCAGGGAAGTCGAGCAACTGAGACCCAGTGTGCAGCCTGCCACTAGAAACTGTTCCAGGAAAAGACCTCACATGGCCTCCCGGCCCCGGTACCCAGCAGTGGCCTGCCCTGCCCACAAGCTATTTCCTTTTGGTCCAGGAAGCCACCAGCAGATCTGGCCAGCTGCATCTCGGAGAGACCTGCCTGCCCTGACCACCTTCTGAGACAGCTCTTTCACTGCAGCTCCAGCTGCTTAACTCCCAGGACTACTGAACAGCTGCAGGGAAGGCTGGGCTGGGGGACTGGTCCCTTGCTGAAAGCTGGAGCAGGTCTGGGGGCTTTCCGACCACCCACCCATTCCTTTGCTCTTCCCAGGGCCACCAGCTCAACTGTGGCTTTCCACGGTAGGCAGCGTGGGCCCCACTGCACCAGGGCCACAATCTGAGGGCCTTGACAGTAAGCCAGGGAGTTGGGCTCCAAATCCAGTTCTCCTGGTTCCGAGGCAGGGGACACAGTGACAGCTACCCTGCTGCCTCCCACATCCCTCTGGCTGTCACTTCAGGGCCCAATATCCTGTCTCCCGGAGAGGACTCCTTAGGCCTGCAAATCTTCCTCAGTCCTGCCCTGACAAGACAGCAAATGCTGGGCCTGCTGACAGTGCGATGCCACTGTCCCTTGTGCTGCAGCGAGCACCCCTGTGGGACACTCTTCCCAGATGAGCCTGTAGGGAGCCGTGCCTATTCATCGGCTCCCAGGTGCCTCTGGCCTCTGGCTTCCAGAGATTCAGGAACTGACCACACCCTGTGCCTGGGGCCCGTTTGGAGCTTCTGTGCGCCACAAGAAACTGCTCAGAGCTGTGCCCTTGCTGATAGCAGTTTTGCACTTATCTCCTAGCTTCAAGTATGTTTTGTCTTCCTGCCCAGATAACCAAGTCAAGGCCAAAGCACCAGCTGATTAAAGAGAGGCAAAGGCAGGCATCTGGGGCGGGAATCATCTGACTCTCACTAAACCCTCCCACTTCCAGGCATCACTCCTCCACCCTTCTCAAAAAAAGTATCAACTGAACTGACCGAACAGGGTGTATGTAGCCTTGGGGTCAGAGAGGGGAGGAGGAAGTGGCATTTAAGACTTGTAGGTCACTTCCCGAAAGGGTTCAAATCTGGTTTTGGGGGTACTTCCTCAAAGGGACACTGGGGTGGGGAGGAATAAGAGAGCAACTGTGCAAACAGGGAGGCACGGACTCAGGCAGGAAACCTTCGGGCATGGAGAGCCAGGATTGCGGAGCAGGCTTCCCTGGGCACTGTCAGTTGTCACCTGTCACCTGTGGCTGCTACCCCAGACTTTTCCTTCTCCATCTCCTGCAGCTCCGCCCACTGTTGCCCCTCCCAGGCTAGGCCATCAGGCCTCACACGTGAGTCCAGGGCTTTACTGACATATGCAGAATAAGCCAGTCCCAAATAGATTTTTTGAAAACTACCCTGGAAACACTGTGAGAAACCTTATGTAGGTAACTGACTTTGGAAAGTGTTGGGTAGAAAGAACTCTCGGGGCTGGGGTTTAGCTCAGTGGCACAAATGCCAGATTGGCTAGTGTAAAGTTGTGAGTTCGATCCCCAGTACCAAAAAAAAGAACTCTCATAAGATACACGAAGAAGGGGCTGGGGATTTAGCTCAGCGGCATAAGCTCCTGCCTTGCAAGCGCGTGGCTGTGAGTTCAATCCTTGGTACCGGTAAAAGATAAATAAATAAATAAATAAAATAGATTTTCTTTTTTTTTTTTTTTTTTTTTTTTTTGGTCTTTTTCCTTTTTATCGGTACCAGGGATCGAACTCACGACTGCCTGCTTGCAAGGCAGGCGCTTATGCCGCTGAGCTAAATCCCCAGCCCCTAGATTTTCTACTTAAAAAAAAAAAAAAAGATACATGAAGAAAGTCACAGGAGGAAACTGCCTGTGCACGCAATGTGGGAAGGCATTCCCTGCACGCAAATATTTTAAGACACGAAAGAACTCACACGGATGAAAAACTCTATGCATTAAAGCCATGTGGAACAAGATTCACAGACACAGAGCTCACACCAGAAAGGAGCCTATGGACAAAAGCAAAGCAGGGAGAGGGTTCCGTGAACACCGTTTCTATGAACACGGAAGAAGTCACACTTGACAGCTCCCCTATACACCCCTGTAAGCCTGTAAGAAAATCCGTGAGAATCCTCATGGAGTGGAGACCTGCACACATTAAATGAAACATTTGATGTCAATATTTCTTTATAAATTTTCCAAAAAGTACATTTCAGATAAAGACATCCTAGAATGTATCTCTTCTGTGTTTTTCAGTAAATCACTTACAAATATCTGGGAAAAGAAAAAAAACTACCTTAAAGATAAAACCTGGCCCCACTGCCCCAGAGCTGTGCAGCTGTGCACTCAGGGCCGCTGGGCCTCCTGCAGGAGCCTGCGCAGCGGGTCCTCAGCCCTGAGGGCGAAGGTGAGTGTGCGCCGCTGGTAGTGCTCGGGGTCACACTCCAGGTTCTCGATGACCTCGGCCAGCAGGTGGGCTCGCTCCACGCCCGAGCCAGGGGCCTCGAAGCCCAGCGCGGTGAAGTGCACGTGCAGGTGGTAGTAGGAGGGCAGGTAGTGCAGGTACACCCGGAGGCGGTCTCCTGGGGTCTGGTAGCGCTGCAGGATGGCTTCCTGGTGAGGGCGGGCAGTGGCAGAGAAGGGTCACCGTGCTGCCGGCCAGCCAGTGGGTCCCCCCTCTAACCCAGGTCAGCCCAAGACAGTTACAGAACCCTCCAAGTGGCCCTCTGCCGACTGTTTCAGATCCTCTGTCTTCCACTCTAGGAGATCAACACACGTGGGGTGACAGCTTCAAAGCTGGGCTATTTCCCCATAGGAAGGGGACATGGCCTCTGCAGGGTTCCTGGATCAAACGCTGGCTTCCGGTGGGAATCTAATGCTGAAGGATGGGCCTAGATTCCTGGGACTGTGGGGAGTGTCCTTCCTCTGGACAACTAAGCGCTTGGTATATCACAAGGTGGGTGGGAGAGAGCCCTGCTTTTTCTTGGAATGAGGCTGGGAAACAATGGGGATGGAGGTGTGCGAGGAACTTGGCAGGAGATAAAGGATGCGGAATGGGGTATGGGGAAGGCTGCCACAGACAGACCTCAGCGGGGCTCCTTGAGAGAGGAGGAGGTGTTTGCTTTGGTCTGGTTCCTTTGCCTACCTCTACCCTGCTTTGAAAAAGCCCCAGAGGTTTCTCAGCATTAAGAGGAGACCCCCAAGGCAGTCAAAAGTGAAGCAGAAAAGGCTAGGGCTTCAGCGAGTTCAGAATACACCTCTGAATAACCCTGGGGTCACTGCGGCAGGGTGCGGTCAGGGCATTCTGGGATTAGCAGCGCCAGCCTGCAGGTGTGAAGCTACCCAAGCAGAGAAATGTGAACACTGAGTCCCTGAGAGGAAGATACCATCGCTAGTATCCAGAGGTTACTGCCCCATAGAAGTTGCTTCACAGAGATGAAGGAGCCAGAGAGGGGCGATGCTGGCAGACTGGGGGCAGGGAGGAGACAGGTCAGTGAATAGTGCTGGGGAAAAGGCAGAAAGGCTGACATGCTTGTGACTGTCAGCCTACAGCACAAGAAGCGTGCAGTGCATCTTCACTTGTCAGGGTAGATATGGTGGACTCGGAAGGGCTCCCAATCGGACACTGAAGCCACAGAGGTGAACTGATCTGTCTAGGCCAGTTAGCTTGCTAAGGCACAAATGTCAGGCCAGGACCACAAGCCAATCATCTCCTTTTCCCAGGGCTCTTTTTTGGGCTCCTTATAATTTCATTTCATTTCATTCAACAGGGGGCCCAGATAGGCAGACTCTCAAAAAGTGAGTTGCTACAGAATTCGGCCTGTGCTCTGTCTAGACCAGGAGGCACTGTGTGTGCAGACAAGCAAGAGCCAGGGGCCCACAAGTGCAAGACAGTCAGGTGCATTAGGTGGTTGTCAAGAGCAAAGCAGGTGATGTTAGGGATAGAGCCACAGGGATAGGAGGCACCAGGACTTGATGATATATGTCTACAGCAGTGACAGTGAACCTTAGGTTTGCCTTCTGGCCTTTAGGGTGCAGGGCACCTCAGATGGGACCTACAGAGGAAGGCAGGCAGCCAGGAAAGATGGCTGAAAATAGAGCTGAAGGATCGAGCAGGCCCGGGGAACAGGGCCTTGTGAATCAACCCGATGAGCCATAACAGGTGCAAGGCTGGCATCCTGAGAAAAGCCGTCCCCAGGGCAGACTCTGGGAAGGGTCAGAAGAGGGGCCCAGGGAACACCAGGACTCACCTGCCCCTCCCGGAGGATATTCCTGAGCAGTGGCAGGTGTTCTGGCGTGAGGTCCCGAAGTGACCGGATTCCCCGGCGATGGCAGATGGCGATCAAGTACAGGTCGTCCAGCTGTGCAGAGTTGGAGGAGAGAAGAGGGTAGTGACAGGCTCCTCAGGGGCAGCACCACCAGGGCTGCCATCCAGGGAACTGCCCACCCTCCAGGCCTGCAGCGCCTCCACAGCTGCTCCAGGAGACCCCAGTGTGGGACAGGCACCCACATACTACAGGTGTCCCAGGGCTTCTGCTCAGGAGCTTTACCAGGGAGGATCCACACACTCTACAGAACCGATGGGCAGTGGCAGGGTCAAGAGAGTCTGGCATCTTCCTCTAAGAGTTCGCAATCCAATTCGCATACATGCATCACTCTACCCACATGAAGTGCATCAATGGTTCTTATCTTGTGCACATAACGCGGCTAGGACCTGGGGCCTTGTGCATGAGATCCACCACTGAGCTGCACCTCAACAACTAAAGTGATCAACACACAGGAGGAAGTACAGGTTCTCGTTCTCTGGCGGGGATCCAGGCAAGCCTCCCGGGAGCACAGCTGGGGCTGAGTCTTGAGAGCAGGGTTTAGAGAAGGACGTTCAGAGAGGGAACGTCGAGGGCGAAGGTGGAGGTGAGACTGCACAGGGCGCAGAGTTGGGAGGGGGAGCCGCTCCACGCATCCAGAGGCTGCCACTCATGCAGGTGCACATGAGCAGGGAAGGGGAGTCTGAGGCCCACCCAGCACCACTGTGGTGGAAGGCAGCCTTTCCTGCCGTCCTTCCTGAAAACAACACCTGGCTAAAAACCCGGAGGTCACAACACAGCAAAGAACCAGTCAACAAGATCTTGTTGCCAGAGGACAAATAAATCCTTCACCCCATTTGCGTGGCCACCCCCAGCCCTCTTCCTCTCTGCTCACCCAAACTTTGGCTTTGCTTCATGATTACACTCGTGTGCCAACCAAGCCAAGGTTCCAGGGCCCGAGACTCTGAGGGCCACGGTGGCCCAGGCCTACAGCTTGCCTTGCTGGATGCCTATGGAGATACCTGGGGACCAGGAGTCACCCAACCAAATCTCCAGGCGTGTCAACCTAAAGTCTGAGTGAAGTCCTCCAGATGCCCCCTAATGCCCACATGTGTTACGGTGTCTCTGTGCCACAGACATTCTTCTCTGTAAGAATCTGGGCTCCCTAGCCAGACTGCTGTACGAGAGGTCAGCTTTGATTTTTGTTTGGGAGGGGAGCTTTTTGAGACAAGGTCTTGCTATATAATTGAAGCTGGTCTTAAATTCATTTTGTAGCCCAGACTGGCCTCAAACTTGCAGTGATCCTCCTGCTTCAGCCTCTCAAATGCTGGGATTACAGGTATGTGCCACCATGTCTGGCACCAGGGCCTCAGTTTGGCCCATGGGTCCGTTCTGGACTCTTCCTTTCATGGCCTGTCTCTGGGAAATTCACTCTCAGTGGCAAGTCTGAGGAGAAACCAGGAAACAAGAGTGCTGAAGTGTATGTGTATCTATAAATACACTAACGTCACTGTCACAAGATACCCAAATCATAGTATTTGTTTCAGGTAATGTCCCAAACATGACATTAAATCCCATCTCTCTGCTCCACTGCCATGGAGCCTGGGCTGGGTGTCAGCTCACAGGCTGAGCAAGGCAGCCTTTCACATCAAACATGGTCCAAGGTTTTCGGCAGCCAGTCAAAAAGCCTCCCAGTCACGGAAATGGTCTGAGAAAAGCTAGATGAGGGCCTGAGACTGGCAGTCCAGAAGGCAGCCCGCCGTGCACCCTTGAAAATAGGCACCACCTTCTTCCACAGCAGGGCAGGAAAATCAAAGGGAGAGTTTCCTGGCCAGGGGACAACAGCACAGCTGCAGTGCTGGAAAGCCACCTCCTGACCTCTGGAGTGACTCCAAGGAAGACTGCCCTGTCCAAGAACATTGGACCGAAGAACTTAAAATGTACGAACTGAAATATATGCACCATGTGCAAAGATGACCCCTGGAGGGAGAGATGAACCAACAGCACTGCTTCTGGGAAGGAAAGTGGAGAAATGGGGCAGGGAGGGAACTTATTTTCTTTGTACATCCTCTCTGCTGCATGCATTTTTACCACAGCACATATTCACAAAGCCAAGAAGCAGAAGTGAACGTGCAGTTGATCTCTTCAGAGAGCTGAGAAGGATGTCACAACTCTAAGGACACATAATCTCTGGCAGCATCAGGTACTTGATACGGATTTGCTGAATGGATGGAAAGAACAAATGGACAAACACAGGATCATCAGTTTGGAATAAAAATACTTCCAGGCTGGGCATGTTGGCGCATGCCTATAATCCTAGCACTTGGGAGGCTGAGACAGGAAGACTGCCATGAGTGTGAGGCCAGCCTAGGCTGCAACATGAGCTACACAGTGAGACCCTGTCTCAAAAACAAAAACCAAAAAACAAAAATGTGTATGTGTGTATGTGTGTGTTTGTTTATTTCCAGAGGCTGGGGTTTTAGCTCAGTGGTACAGTATGAACTTAGCATGTATAAACATCTGGGTTTTATCACCAGCACAGCAAAAAAAGAAAAGGAAGGAAAAGAAAGAAAGATAAACTTTGAGCACAAGTGGCAGGAGACTTAAGGGTGCCCGGAAGACTCCTCAAAGCAAACACTGGAGCACCCACTCCCTATTCCTTCCCTGGCGCTGGAACAAGGAACGGAAGCCAAGACGCGGCCTGTCTTCCTGCTGGATGCATCGCCAGCTTCTAAGGGAACAATCAGTGCTGTGACTCGTCAAAGATCTGAGGCACTGAAACACAGCAGTGGTAAAAGTCAAGCAAGAATTAAGCAAAGACTACACGGTGCAGTCTGACGATTCTGACCAGCCGCCTCAAGCTCTAGAGCTGAGGGCTTGGTGCAGTCGCCAAAGCTCTTCCTCTCTTTTCTTCTTTTTGGTTTTCTGAGATAGATTGTAGCCCACGTTGGTCTCAAACAAGAAGTGATTCTCCTGCCTCAGCCCCGAGTGCTGAGACTATAGGCATGTCACCACCCTGGCTGAACTCAATCTTTGTGCCTCCTGGGCACGCACCACCATGCCCAGTTATCTTTGCAGTCTTAAATAGGATACAGAGTAGGGGGTCCCACTGGCTGGCAAGACAGATTCCTGCCAGTCCAGAATCTCAAAAGATTTCCATTGCAGCAGCATCGGCTCTAACCCATTCAGTGCTTCTGGAGCGGAGAGATACAACTCTGTGTCTGTGGCTCCCTGGCCCTTGCGCTGTATCCTCTGCAATTACGAACCCTTCAGTCTTCAGGAGTCTAGTGAGGCGGCTTCCTCTTGCCCTGGCTCACCTCCCATGACCAGGCATGACCCAAGATCTGCCCAAGGGAGCACACGCCTGTAACCCTAGCACTCAGGAGGCTATACAGGGAGTTTAAGGTCAGCCCGACCTCCATAGCAAGACAGTATCTCCAAAACACCAGAACAAAGGAAATCTGCCTGTGGAGCCCGATGGGTACACAGAGCCACCAAGAGACCAGTCTTGCACTTCCAATTCTGGGGCCTCCTTCCTGCTCCACCACCTCCAGAGCCAGTCTCCTGTCCTCTCTGAAGGTAGTCCAGGCAAGGCTAAGCTGCAGGGGATGGAGGCCTGGGCACAGGGTGCTGAGGGGCTGAAGTGGAGGCCTGGACTGCCGGAAAGCTAGTCTGCAGCTCGGGCTGGGTAGGGACTCCTCGGGTTGGTCACCATGGCTCCTGCCCACCAGCACTTTAGAAACAGGTCTGTCTGGGTCTGGTGGTGTCAAGGGTGACGGAGAAAATGCAGACACTCCCTCAGGGTTCCCGGTGCTGCTGGAAGCAAAGCTGGCAGCCCAGGTCACCGGAATGGCGCACTCGGCCGCTGATGGGGGAGTTACCCAGAACAAGAAAGGGCTTTCAGCTGACCCGAGAAAGTCAGAGCGTTTGTATACGACAGGTAGACAGTCCGTCACCATGGCAAGCTCAGAACACCCCTGCTGGGTAATTATACTCTGTTCAGAGGGGCCAGTGTGAGAAAGTAGGGCAGCCAGAGGAGGCCAGCAACCTGGAGCGGGTTGGGCAGAGACCAAAGCACTCTGGGGTGCGGACCTTACCTGCTGTTGGTTCCACTTGAGATCAGGGATGAGGACAAAGCCATCAGAGGGATCCGGGTTCTCATACACAATCCGGTCGGCTTCGGCTTTCTTGTCAAGAATGTTGTACACCCACTGGGAAGAAGGAAACAGAGGGACGCTCACAGAATGGCCCGGGCAAGCTCACTGTTCCTTCTACCTGGCTTATAAAAGACTGCTTGGCTCGCAGATCCAGTCAGCCTGGCTTTCTCCAAGCATTGACTCATGATCTAGAAGAAATCCTCCCTCTCCCATCGCAAGTGACTCCTAGCCATTTCCGCCGTCCCAGGGTCTCTGCAGGTCAGCCCAGGCTGGCCCTGGGAGCTCTTCCTGGTCAGCACACGTGCTCTACTGCGCACGCACACGCTTATCTGCCCCGACCCACACGGCAGTGCCCTTGCACACCCACCAGGTTCCAGGGAAGCAGTCTAAGGAAGACACTTTCCCAGCCCCGTGTGGGTCCCAAGGGTGTCACTCTGCAGGGACAGTCTGAGGAGGCCTGACTGCGCAGAGGAGAGGCCTGCAGAGGTAAAGCCTGGGCACCCCTGGCTCTTCTCTACACCCCCTTAGCTTCATGACACCACCGTGGTGTCATCACCGGACATCCAAAAAAGACATCTGTCATAACCCAGAGAGGAGGATGGCTGGGCCACACTGCCGGGTCCTTTTCCTCCAAGTCAAAGGGACCTCCAAACACGCTGATGGAAGGGGGAGCCCACGGAGCCAACAGTACCAGACCACCACGGTCTCCGTGCTGGTACAAGCAGACTCCTGATGGGTGTGCGGGCTGCCCAGGGCCTGGGCCTGGTGAGGAAGGAGTGGAGGACATCCACTGTGCCTCTCAGTGCCCTGCAAAGACTCTCCGAGGCTCTCCAGGCCCCTTAAACAAATCCGGAGGCCAGGCACAGTGCGGTCACTCACCATGGAAGATGTGCCTTCCCAGGACAAGCAGATTGGGGGGCCTGCAGGACACCTGGTGTCCATGGCAGAGTCACGCTGAACCTGTGGGCTGTGGTTCTTCAGGGACATTTCCTCTCCCAGCAGAGAGCTCTCTGGGAAAGCACGGCAGGAGAAAAAAACAAAGCAGTTGGAAGCTGACCAAGAGCCTGCAGCGACAGGAGCAGGAGGGACAGTCCAACTCCTGGGGGCAGACGGTCTGCACACTCCCCCAGCAGGCTCCCCAGCCATCCCTGCCCTGAAAAGCAGCAGACGCTCGTAAGGCTGGGCCCTGGAGCCTGGCGACACCTGGTTTCTTCTCTCACTTCTTCCACAGTCTTGTTACCACCGTGGGCAAACAACTAAACCCTCCTTCACAAAATGGGGCTCATTAATAATTAAGACCTACATTCGTGGCTTATGGTGAGGACTGTAACAGAGACAGGCACACAAAAGCACCCAGCCCGGAGCCCAGGACAGAGGAGGCACCCTACAGGCAACGGCGAGCCTGGGAAGCTCCGCAGAGAGAGGCAAGGCACTGAGCCTGCCATGGTGGTGCACGCCTGGGAGGCTGAGGCAGGAGGAGACCAAGCTGAAGTCCAACCTGGGCAAGGCAGCAAGATTGTCTCAAGATGAAGACAGAAAAAGGTTGGGAAGGGGGTCAAGAGATGGAGGGAGAGGGAAGGTAAAAAAGGGATGAGGAATAAAGAGAATTGAGATGTGTTATATGCATGCACCAAGTCCACATGAGGGACACAAAGATTATATGCCGCAAACGCGGACTAAAAACAAACAACAAACAAACTTAAGGAAAGAAAAGGGATGGGATGCAGCTCGATGTGACGACAGTCAGGATTCAAGCTCCGCACTGGAAGACCAACTACAGCAGGAAAAGATAGAAAGCAGGTGAGAGCAAGGTGAGGGTGGGGACTCCTGCGGTTTAGATCTAAAATGTCCCCCCTGAGCCTCCCGCTGAAGGTGGGGCTTGGTCAGAGGGGCCGTGGCCAGGAAGGGTGCAGTCCTGCTCTGGACTACTCAGCTCTTCTCTCTGCTTTCTGGCTGCCGTGGGTTTCTCCGCCATGCCCTTCTGCCAGTTTCTGCTGCAACCATGAGCAAAATTAAATCCTCCATTTAAACTGTTGGCATCAGCCTTGAGTCCAGGAAAGTGACCAGGACAGAGGCCAAGTGATGGCCAAACAGGTAAGGACAGCAAGAACAACATTCCTTTTATTTTTTTTTTTAATTTTAACTTTTTGAGACAGGGTCTCACTATTAATAGTTCAGGCCAGCCTTGAGCTCACTAGGTGACCAGGCCGGCCTCAAACACGCAGCACTCCTCCTGCCTCAGCCTCCAGAGTACTCAGATGACACACCTGGCTATTTCTCCATTTTGCTGGAAGGAAAACGCAGGTACAAAGAAGCACATACAGCCTCACAGAACTCCAACCCTGGAAGCCTGGCTCCTGAGGCGGGCCCTGGGCCCCAGCATCATATCCCACCTCCTGGGCAGCCCCTGGGTGACTGGCAGGAACCTGCACCTACAGGAAGTCTTACTGCAAGAAGCCCAGAAGAGGAGGGGAGGGGAAGGGATCTGAAAGTCAGACCTGGGGCCTCAGCAGCCCCCAATAATAGAGGCCTGTGACACTTTTTAGAACACATCTGGCTGGAGGCTGCAGCGGTACGTGGCACTGCCGACACATTCAAGGCCCTTTCCTCCCGGACCACCCCGGGCACATCTCAAGCCTTCCCCATTCTCGGCTCGCCTGCCCACACCTCCCAGGCCTTCGCTTGGTGGCCTGCCTGTTCTTCAGGTCTACCTAGGTTTGTGTAATGGCAGTTCCACTTTGGAGCCCGTTCTGAGCTGGGAACAACTGCAGGCACGTGACAAATGATGCCTCTCAACACTGCCCACAGCCCCAGGAGCCAGGGCGTTCATCAGTTTCCGGTCAAGGAACCCTGGACTCCCAAGTTAAAGAAGGTACCACACTGCTCTTGCAGCATCAAAGCCAAACACTTGGCTCATGCTGAAGGCTGAGGAAGGATCACAAATACAGACTTAGCCGAAGAGCCCTGGAGGCTTCAGTTCCGGTTACCCAACTGCCCTGGGGGTTGGGGACTGAACCCAGGGCCTTGCACATATAAGGCTAGCGCTCTACCACCGAGCTATGCTCTAAGCCATTTTTCTTTTTTTTTGTCTTTTTCCTTTTTATTGGTACCGGGGATCGAACTCACGACTGCCTGCTTTCAAGGCAGGTGCTTAGTTGAGCCGTTTTTCTTTTCTCTTCTTTTCTTGTCTTTAAGAGATAGGATGAGAGAGCCTATCTCATTATGTAGTTCAGGCTGGCTTTAAACTCAGCCTCCTGAGTGTAGAATTACAGGCATGTGCCACCGTACCCAGCCCCCCGCTCTTTTTCTAACTTTATTTTGCGACAGTGTTTCACTAGGTCACCCAGTCTTGCATCTAGGTTGTGATCCTCCTGCCTCAGCTTCCAAAGCAGCTGGCATACAGGTATCTGCCACTGCACCCAATTCCACCCATTTTTTACTGAGGTTCCAGGTACCTCAAATCTGAGGTGCGGAAGAGCATCACGGGCTAACGACCTAAGTACTAGGGCCTGACAGAGTTTGAGGCTCAGTTTCCAAAAGGGCTGTTCTGAAGATTAAATAAGGTGATGCAAATGAAATGCCTGGCACAGGTCCTGGCACTTGGTGTTCTTGATACACCCCTAGCTGGACACGCTGTCTGCCCACAAATCCACCGCACTGTCCATGTCCCCATCCTGGTCACACTGGTTCGGAGCCATCCCACATTCCTCCCTCCTGCTCGGGATCAGCCAGTTCCGAATGCTTCCAGCCCAGGACGGCTCACCTCCTCACTGCTACTGAATCCTTCCCAGCTGTCTCCGCCTTGGTCCAGATCCATGCTGGTCTGCAGTGCTCCTGCCCCAGCTGATCCTACAAATCTGACCACATTACCCACGTGCTTAAAACGCGTAGGGGAGCATCACTGCCTAGAGCAATCGCTCTTGGGTCTGCTGCTTGTTCAAAACATAAATGCACACGTTAGCTCCACTCTGAGTGGCAAGACTGAAAAGACAGGGAATGGAACTTCCTGCTTTTATTTTGATTTCTCCTCCAGGCTGCCTAAGGATTAGCAGGGCTGGCTCCTCGGGTTTTCCTGCATCCTCATCCTGTGCCGGGTGGGTCACAGTGAACTCCATGCAACTTCCTGAAAGCATGCAGTGATTCAGCTCCCTACCCCTCTGGACTTGCTCAACTGTGAGGACATCAGTAAGGTTTCATTACTGCAGTGTAGCAGGCCCCAAAACACAGCAGATGTCCAATATAAATACAGTAACTTGTCAGTTAAACTATGTGCTTGTATACTTGCTACAGATATCCAAAAAGGAATGTGAAATGTCACTCATGTTAATCAGGAGCTGAAGCAGCAGTAGAGTTTCTGCTGTATTATTTCCAAGTGCAGCTGCGTAACAGTGCACAATAAAATGGATACAGTATACGCCGCCGGGCATGGTGGCATATGTCTATAATCTCCGCATTTAGGAGGCCGAGGCAGGAGAACTGCTGCAAGTTCAAAGCCAGCCTGGGATATGCAGTGAGACCCTGTCTCCAATATATTAGTGCTTCCTCTCTTGAATCCCAGCCCCTCAGAACATAAATCCTGGCAGATCTCTTTAGGACTGTGAACAGAGCACTCAGAAAACGGAATAAGTACTGGGACTTAAAGAAGGGGGGAAAAAAAAAACAGATCAAGGCAATTGAGCCAAAGAAATCTGGCGCAAATGCTGCACAGAGAGCGGGGGTTAACAAGCAGGCCGAGTCCCACCCTGCAGAACAGGGCTGTTGGCACACAGGCCCCAGAACAGCCTTCCCCAGGGCCTGCCAGCCTCCCGGCACACTTGGCCCTGCAGCACCCTCCCTTCTTCTGTATCAGAGAGGACAGATAGCGCAGGTTTTCCTGCGATCTGAGAGATACCACCACGGCAGCCTGAATCCTGGGGAGAGGAAGGGGAAGTGCTCAGAGAACAAGAGTGAGCAGCGATAATGAGGGAACCGGTGAGAGCCAGTGAGTGGGCAAGGAAGTGACTCATCGATCTGCATCCATCATATTTAACAGTAAGTGTACACATGGGGCCAATTCCAGGCAGAGGCTCCAGCTGGCACTGGGCCCAGGCCCCACGAGGCACCGGGATCTCCATGCTCAACAGCCCTGTGCCTGACTCAGCCAGGACCCTCTGCCCCTGCCTGCCAAACACAGCTGCTGCGGCTATGGACGAACGCACCAGCAGCATGCAGGGGCGGAGTCTCCCACTGAGACCCGGCCCTATGCACTGATCTGTGGCAGGCAAATCCCGGGATGAGGCTGGACTGGCTGGGCGTGGTGGTGCAGCCAGCACTACACAGCAAGACCTGGTACTACACAGTGAGACCAGGTCTCAAAAAACAAAAGAGGCTGGATCAAGGCGAGTCTACCCCAGTACCCAGTCTTTATTCTGAAACCATCAGGGGTACTACAGGGCTACAATTGTTCTTGGAACTCGTATCTCTTCTGAGGCCAGTGATACACTGCAGAGCAGATTCAAACTCTTCCTGAAGACTGGATGGCTCAGATTCCCCTGGTCGCTTTGGTGGCCCCACAAAAACCTCACAAGGAGCCCAAGATCAGAGTCAATTTCTCTCTCCAAGCAGCCTACCCTGACCGTGCCATATAAAACATCCACTCGCCGCCCCCAGGACTCTGCCCTGCAGACCCTGTCTACTTTCTGTGTGCTCACGCTGCCTAAGGTCTTTAGGTAACTAAGCATCGATCGTCCACACGAGGTGTCAGCTTCATGGGCACGGACCTGCTCTACTGACTTTTCTGGTACCTCCACAGTGCCCGGCAGCTGGGAAGACCCCACCAGCTGCTCTGTAGGAAGAGAAACCAGCCACGGGAACGACATTCCATGGCTGAGACCCACAGCCACTCACCTGAATGCTGAGGCTCTGGGACTCCAAGTAGGGCAAGGTAACCTTCCTGTAGTCCTCACCCGTCTCCCGGATCAGGTGGAGGTCCTGGTGCAGGTATTTCTGCAGGTGCTTCTCTGTGGCGGGGTATACTACAGTCGTCTTTACCTCTGCAACGACATGGCATGGCCTGTAACTGGAAAGCAGAAGCCACCCAAGCTATGACTCAGCCCCAGGCCAATCCTGAGAACACAAGGTTCACAGCCGGGGCCCTGGTCCTGGAACTCATTCCCCCACTGGCTTCCAGGCACGGACCAAAGGTCTCCAATATTCTCACCTGCAAGTTTCTAGCTACTGCCAGCTCTGGCCTCAGAGCCTGGAAGCACCCTGTTAAGGAGGAGCAGTGCAGGAGGCCACGGTAGACTCTGGGGCCAGGCGGTCTGAGTTCCAGTCCTAGCTCTGTCTGCTTACTGCTCACCCCAAGTGGGACCTTGGCTCAGTTGGGAATTTAGTCCAGTTATTCAACCTCTGTGTGCCCTGACTTACTCATCTGCCTGCTGAGGATAGTAACAGCTCTGATGTCATAATATTATGAAGATTAAGAGAGTTAATTACCTGTGCAGCACTTAGAATAATGCCTGGAACACAATAACACCGCATGAGAGCTGGCTGAATGACCTGAGTTGCCCAACTTTGCTTGACTCCAGGTCTTGCCAGATGACTGTGCTCCAGGGTGTCCTGTGCATGGCACCCACACCGCACCACTATTTTAGCACTATTCCTAGGCTTCACCTGGATGTGAGTAACAGCTCTCTGCAGCTGTGACAGCCATACAGCCTCCAGACATTACCGAACGTCCCAAGGGAGGCAGAATGGCCCCAGTAGAGAAAAGACATTTTAATCAGAAGGATTAAAATGCAGTTTCCTGAATAGATTCTGGGCTTGTTCTCTGGTCCAACACCATCTGCTTGTGGTTAAGTTCTTTCCTCTATGTTTAACAACATCTGGTACAACCAGTGTCATTACTGTAACATATATATATATATATATATATATATGTATGTATATATATATATATATAGAGAGAGAGAGAGAGAGAGAGAGCGAGCTTGAGCACACTTCACACAGAAACACAGGACAGGGCAAGAAAACGGCAAACTGGTGTTTCAAAATCAGTTGAGATGTTTGCCAAAAGACTCACGCGCCCCCTTCTGAATTCTTTCTTGGGGTTCGGCCCTGCTGCTCCAAGGATTTGCCCTAAGCTGGCCCAGCTAAGGGCCACCAGCCTATACTCTGGCATTTGGCCCAAGGATGTGCATGATTTTAATCCACTTTCACGTGCAAGCGAGGGTGGTAGTGGCTGGGGTCCAGCACTCATCCAGGATCCCACTGGCGACGTGGCAAAGGCGAGGCTGGAACGGAGGCCTCGTGACCCCGAAGCCTTTCCACATGGTGGCCTGCTTCCTGGCCATTCTCCTTCCAGGCCCCGCAGGGCTGTGCCAAGGTGACAGGCCAAGCGCGTGACTTCTGGTGAGCACCAAGTGTCCCGGTCGAGCTTCCCTGGGCCAAGGCAGCGTGATGAAACACAGCCGGGGTCTGGTGCGGCCGTGTGACTCCCTCCCTGCCCAGCGACCTCTCAGAGCGTGGCAGTGTTCTCCTCTGCTACTGGGAAGTCATAGAGGCTGCCTGTCACAGTTGTTGCTAGCATTAAATAAAACAGGGCATCTGGATCACGAGGGACAAAGGTCAACATGTTCTTGGGAATCCCTGGGCCGCCTCATACTCTGGGCAGCGCAAAAACTTGTCTCTTACTTTTTTATTCTTTTTTTTGTTTTTTTTTTTACTAGTAATTTCTTAGTGTATACTTTTTATTCTTTAGTGTCCTCTACTTCTCCAAAGTCACAGGCTCCTGGTCAGAGGTCAAGCACACTGAATTGCCAGAGGCAAAAAACTGCCCGGGACAGACTGAATGGTGCCAGCCTTAGCCGCAGAACCGTGCAAAATCCCAGCGGATCTGCAGTCTAACTTGTGTCTGAGAGTGGAGGCTCTGGAGCTAACCAGCCCGGGTACACAACCTCACTCTGTACTTACTAGCTGGGTAACTAGGGGCAAGCGGCCAGCAGTCTCAGTGCTTCACTCCCTCGTTTGTGTAACCCCGGGGTAACAGTCACAGCATCTGTCTCACAGGGCTGCTCTGGGAACTGAATGAGTTAGTGGGCGGGAGACATTTATTTCAAAAGCACCTCACACACAGAACAGTGCTCCATAAACACTCACAGTTTCTGTTATGCCTTCCCGCCTGCGTTGGGGGGGGGCACAAGGCAGGCAGTGGAACTCCCCAGAATAGGCAGCTGGAAACAAAGGTGGAGCTGACGCTGGAAAGCCTGCACCCTGGGCTCACAGCCGGGGGCTCCTTGGCTGACCCAAAGGCCTGCAAGCAAGCCCTGGTCTGCTCGGGCTTGCGAGGGACCTGCCCAGCCACCCAGGCTGCGGGAAAACAGGCATCTCACCAAATGCGCCCTCTCCTGCCCTCACCCTGGTCAGTGAGACAAACCGGAGGCCCTAGCTTCTCAGCTGCCCACCGCCTGCTGGCTTCCTTTCTCGAGCTGCCCTGCCAGTGCCCAGCTGGTGGATTCTCAGAGTGAGGCACTGCCCAGAGTCCCTCACTCTCAGCAGCCCAGCTTCTCTTGGACCCCACTGGGATCCCTGAGCACTGCCATTGGGGCTGAGGGCTCCCCTCCACAGTCTATGAGGCCGGAGACATCCTTCACCCACTCTCTGCCAACCCCCACATACCTGCCCAGGCATCAGCCACATACCCCACTCTGTACCTTGCTCTGGCTGCCAGCCAAACCCTCTGCGAGAAAAAGCTTGTCACATCCCTGCCACACTTGGGCAGGGGCAGCTCTGCCATACAGGCTCAGACGCCCCTGCTGAAGCACCCTCTGCCTTGTCACCCCCTGGCTGAGCTGTCCCTTGGGCCACCTGGCATGCGGCCCAGGATAACTGTCTGGCTCCCCCAGGGAAGGTTGGCTTCCAGGAAGAGGGGATGTGGTTTGTTTGTTTCTTTTACCATCTACCTAGCACCTGGACCTATCATCTGATAAACACTCAGCAAGTACCTGTTAGACAAATGGATAGACAAATCAGGAATTTTGTGGACTTTAAACACAGAAAGAGCATCTGTTCTCCGAACAGAGAATGAAACTTCTCTGATAAAAATCAATATATTGCCCAATGCTGCTTCTCCGTGGCAGCCCCAAAACAAACTCTGGTGTTTACTTAATGCAAGATTCCAATCTGCAGCTGAACTTTGGAAGGAGTTTGGTCAAGAGTCACACAAGTCATCGGCTAAAAAATATAGGGGGAACAGGTTCCACATCCACAGTGTGAAAGGATCTCCCCGGATTACTAACTACACAGGGAGAACAGCCTCTCCCCGGGGGGAGGGAGTTAACACTGCCCCTAATGCACAGCTTGGATCTAACCGCAAAGAAATATCAGAAAACCAAAATCCGGGGTAGCCTATAAAACGTGGCTTTTTAACTTCTAAAATGTCCAGGTCAGCCGCCTGTGGTGACAACGGCCTGGCCATCCCAGTACTTGTGAGGCTGAGGGGCAGGAATACTCGAGCCCACAAGTTTAAGGTTGGCCTGGCAACACAATGAAACCCCACCTCAAAAACAAACAAAGATGGCAAAGTTAAAGACAAAGGAAGGGCAGAGGATTGCACCAAACAACAAGAGACTCATTCAGCAGATGTGACTAAAAGGATTAGGTTAGATCCTGGTAGGGGAAAGGGGTGTCCTGTTTTAAAGATAGTGATGAAAAAACTGGCGTCGGCCTGTACACCACAAGCTACTGTTGTATAAATGTCAGCCTTTCTGAGATTGACAATTTCCTGAAACTGATTATGTTTACTCCTTTTTATAGCCATAATATCCATAAGGAAAACAGAAAAAGCAAATGTGACACAATGTTAACAGATAAAAGGGTTTTATAAGGCAATTCTTTATACTACTCTAATGACTTTTCTATAGGATTAAGAAATTTTTTTTCGGCCAGGTGAGATGGTACTGACCTATAATTTCAGTACTTTGGAGGCTGAGGCAGGAAGATTGCTGCAAGTTCAAAGCCAGCCTGGGTTACACAGTGAGTTCAAGGGCAATCCGAACTTCATACTGAGATCCTGTCCCCCAAAACAACTGCCCCCCCCCAATTTTTTTCCAGAATAAAAAACTAAAACGCAGTTGATGAACTGTGGCAAAGTGGCTGACAGATTTACCACCAAGCACTATGCTAAATCAAAACATATCTTAACTAATTTATTCTCATGATAAAGAGACTGAGTATTACAATGGATCCATTATACATGGGAGGAAACTGAGGCACAGGGCCTGCAGTGACTACTGAGGATCCATGGGCATCACGGCATCTGGTCTCAGCCCAGTAGATGAGGTCAGTAGGTGAGGCTGGCAGGTGGGGTCTGCCCTCCGGCAGAACCTGACCTGGCTGGGTTCTCTCTGCCCAGTGCTGTCTCAGCAAACTGACAGGCGGGAACCATCTGCTCAGTGTGGGCGACCCTGGGCAGCTCCTCTGCCTGAAACCTTCCTTTGTGGCCGGAGAAGCAACCAGGAATTCCCCGCCACACCCTGCTGGGGGCAGCCTTTAAAAAGCAGCTCGGGGACACTCAAATGCCTCCAAAGCACCCTGAATGTGCATTCCACATTACGAGAAGCTCTCTGACATGCCTGAAAAGCCCTCCTACTGCCATACTTTCTAAATTTTTGTTCGTATTTTATCTCAAGTTGTATTTGCAGAGATTTCGGAGTCAAATGAAGTATGTTTTACTTAAAAAGTCTTCTGCTCTTCCTTGCCACGAGCTCCAGCTCCTCAAAGGACCTGCTTTCAACTCTTCTAGGCCAGGCCATTTCATTCTGCCTTGCTTGGGCCATCCATAGTTCACAGCTCTATTTTTATATCTTGCTCTCCTGGACTTTTCAGTTTTACTCTGACTTCCTAATCACCCACCATGGAAGCTCAGCTTTTGGAATCGTCCACCAAGGGCACGTGCGTGCTCCAATGAACGTCCTGGCACACATGCTCCTCCTATGCGTCTGTTCACTGTAGCCGGGACGCAGGAATGCCACTCCCTACTGAAGAGCAGCGT